GGGGGGGGGGTTCTAATCTGGGTTTGAAGGTGGACGTCAATTCAATAACCAAATCCAAAATTATCTCGGCTCGGCAAATTCTTTTAAATTACCATTTCACTTTGGACCAGCTAATATAAAAAAAAACATCCTTTCTACAGACGTCAACGCATTATGACATAACGACATTACCTACCATGACCGCCTTTTTAAATGACACAGTTGAAGCAGTCCCCGGTGTTAGATGTAGGTGGAAATCTGTTCCAAACACGTTGCATAATCCAAACAGAATCCGCTTTTGCAACATTTTGTCACCGGTATCGTAATCTTGTGTAATCGACTTCGTAAGATTATCAACACGAATCGGATTTACAGTCAATCTGGACACACGTGTAGCTCATGCTGAGTAAACCGATGATTTATTTTGATCGCTCACGTTGCTCAACCTGAAATTGACTCACTGCCCAAAAATCCCCAACAAAAAACAAAACAAAAACGTGAAAGAAACCCACCCTTTACCCACCCACTTCCGGAAAGCTGTGAAAAAACGCGCGCCTTTGGTATAAAGATTGTCATACAGCAGGAGTCGAGTCAAAATTATATTAACACAAGAAGAGAAGAAATCGTTTATTCAGAATTTACGGAACATTCTTCACCTGGTCACTACACAAGATCTATACACCCCCCCCCCCTTCCCATAGTAATCAACAAGACAGTTCAGTTACTTGATAGCTTGACACATAAGTAATGTTTACAGGAAACAGTTGCTACAACACCTAATATAATTCTGTCCTTGAGTCCATCGACATCTCGAACATTTTTGCTCACACATTTCTAGATCTACAACCATCATAGTGTCAACACATGGACTCACCCTGTATAATCAATGTATGACGAGCCGACGTCTCGCGGTCCATCCTTTATTTAAAGTCATGTTATATTGTGTCGCAACACGACAGAATCAGGCGTTCGTCAAGTTTGGGTTCGGACAAATGGAGTTATTGATAATTATAAACTTGAAGCCCGTTCACTTGTCTTGCCTTTGTTAAAGAATATGCGAATCTGCCTTGAATAAAAGTCGAGATATCTTAGATCAAAGAAGGTGCGGGGGCGGGGTGGGGTGG